GACTCCTTTTTTTGTTTATAGCAAAATGAATTTTTATCTTTGATTTTTTATAATCGAAACCTTAGCACATGAGAATTAATGGTCATGGTCACTTGCTGCCCTACCCTAGTCAGATTCCCAAATTTATGAAAGATAAAGGGTTCTTTTGGGTAGAAGATGATATGAGTTGTATGTGTCAAGGTAATTGGCGTAGACCTGTTACCGATGCCAGTTTTTTTCTCAATGAGAAGATCGCTTGGATGGACAAGAACCATATTGATAAAGAAGTGGTACTTAATCTATCTCAACTTTATTGTAATGGATATAAACGGGAAGACGCACGGGATGTCATTAGGTTTCAAAACGAGTTTAATGCTTCACTACAAGCGGAATATCCTGATAAGTTTATTTCAGGTTTCGTAGTACAACCACTTTACGTAGATGATGCATTGGAAGAAATACGTAGATGTGTGGAGCAATTTAATCTACCCCTTCTATGTCTGCCTTCCCATTTTTTGAATAAAGATGGTAAGTGGACTGCTATAGCTGATGAGTCTGTACTTCCCATCTTTGAGCTTGCAGATCAGTATAAATTAGCAGTAGAAATCCATCCTTACAATGCAGAAGACATCATCCAACTAGATGATAAATTTTGGCGTTTTCATTTGATTTGGATGTGCGCACAGACGGCAGATGCATGGCATTTTTATAGTTTAATGGATTTTCCTGATAGGTTCCCTAATGTTAGAGTTTGTTTTGCACATGGCAATCAATTCGGGCAGATGGGTTATGGAAGAAGAGTACAAGGGTACAAAGGCAGACCTGATTTATTTGTAGGGAGCAGAGACCCTGAAACCAATAGTAGCAATAGTAATGTATATTTTGACTCTATTGTTCATGATGTTTTATCATTCGAATTATTAATAAAAAGAGCAGGTGTCAGTCAAGTAATCGCTGGTCTAGATGATCCATATCCACTCGGCGAGATGGAAAGTGTAACGGGCTGTTATCCTGGCAAAGTTATCGACGAAGCAGTAGATGCTAGTATGATTTCAGCGAAAGATAGAGATGATATTTGGTATAAAAATGTAAAAAATTGGCTCTATGGCAGTTAATAATATTGAACCGTAAAAGGTTATCATTTAAAAACATAAACCTACATTTGCATTCATAAACCTTAGACCCTAAACAAAAATATTTTGAATACATCACTTCAGTTTGCACAAGAACAAGACCAGCTAGACCCTTTAGCAAGTTTTAGAAAACAGTTTCACATTCCAAAAGATCCTAGCGGTCACGATACCATTTATTTATGTGGTAACAGTCTAGGTTTGATGCCAGTATCGACGACTGCTTATGTCAATCAGGAACTGGAAGATTGGAAAAACCTAGGTGTAGAAGGTCATTTTCATGCCAAAAATCCTTGGATGCCATACCATGAATTCCTTACAGAAAAGATGGCAAAAGTGGTAGGCGCACTCCCTTCAGAAGTGGTCGTCATGAATAGTCTAACAGTTAATTTACACTTGTTAATGGTAAGTTTTTATAGACCTACCAAGACAAGATACAAAATTTTATTCGAATATTCGCCATTTCCATCTGATAGGTATGCCATAGAAAGCCAGGTAAAGTTCCATGGCTTTGATCCCAAAGATAGTATGATCGAACTTGTACCCGACGAAGGCCAGAAAACAGTTAGCTTGGATAATATCAAAAATATATTAGACATTCATGGTGATGAAATCGCCCTTATCCTGATAGGTGGCGTCAATTATTACACCGGACAAGCTTATGATTTCAAGTCAATCACTCAAATGGGACATTCAAAAGGATGTGTGGTAGGTTTTGATCTAGCGCATGCAGCTGGAAATTTAGAGCTACACCTTCATGATGCTGGACCTGACTTTGCAGCTTGGTGTACCTATAAATATCTTAACTCAGGTCCTGGCAGTCTTTCAGGCTGTTTTATCCACGAAAGGCATCATGGCAATAAAGAACTACCTAGATTTGCAGGTTGGTGGGGACACGACAAAAAAACAAGGTTTCTCATGGGCGATAATTTTCAACCAATAGAAACAGCTGAAGGCTGGCAACTAAGCAATCCACCTGTACTTTCTATGGCTGCGATAAGAGCTTCTCTTGATATTTTTGATCAAGCTGGAATTACGGCTTTAAGACAAAAATCAGAAAAACTCACCGCATATCTTGCTTACTTAATTACTCAAGAAGACAATAAAAATATAAGAATTATCACACCTTCTGATACTCAAAATAGAGGTTGCCAATTGTCTATACAAATGATAACACCAGACAAAAAACTATTCAATTATCTAACAGATCGTGGTATTATATCAGACTGGAGAGAACCAGATGTTATCAGGGTAGCTCCTGTCCCACTCTACAATTCATTTGAAGATGTATGGCAGTTTAGTAGGATTTTGCATGAAGGACTTCGGGTGAATGAGTGAATGAGTGAATGGGTGAATGGATGAAGGAGTGAATAGGTGAATTATGCAAACGAGACGTTTGCACTAACCCAAGCTTCGCGAGGACGCGAAGCTTATCACAAAAGCACATATCAATCTACATTTGCTAAGATCAATGGTCTGCTGATGGCTTCTTCTAAAGAGATAAAAGTTTCTGTTCTTTGGATGCCTTTGATGGCTTGCAATTTTTTGGATAAGACTTCTCGAAGATGATCTGTATCTCTACAAATGATTTTGGCAAAGATGGAATAATTTCCTGTGGTATAGTGCGCATCTACGACTTCAGGGATTTTTTTCATCTCTGCTTTCACACTGTCATACATGTGAGATTTCTCCAAATAAATACCTAAAAAAGCAACAATATCAAAGCCAAGTGCATCGTAATTCAAATCTGCACGAATGCCTTTTATCAAATTTGCTTCTGTGAGTTTTTTGATTCTGACATGGATAGTACCTGCTGAAACAAAAAGTTTTTTTCCTATTTCTGCATAGGACATTTTGGCATCTGTCGCTAAAATAGAAAGAATCTTAGAATCGACGTCATCTAACTCTATTTGCTTTTTTTTAGATATCATACGTAAATATTTGTGCAAATTTGAACAATTATTCATTAATCGATGGTATTTATTGAATAATGATTATTACTATTTATAATAAAATCAATGATTTAATACTTCTAAAACACAAAATATTGGGCGAAACGTGTAGAATGCATTAATTTGGCAGGAAATTAGCAGTACAAGGTTTTGGTACAAGACCATATTGTTTTTTATTAATCATAATTGATACCATTAGCATTTTGGATTCCCACAAAAAAGATAATTATAACATCATCCAACCACTATTACTCTCTGCATGTATTGCTGTGGGTATGATGGTCGGATATAAGATGAATGACAGAGAAGACGGTTCTCTCATAGAAGCTGTCGCATACGATGACGAACATATCAAATTAGTAGGACGAGTAGAAGAGTTATTGAGATTTGTAGAAAACAAATACGTAGATAGCCTTAATACCGACGACTTGCTCAATGAAGCTGTTTCTGCCATATTTTCTAAACTCGACCCACACTCTAGTTACATATCTCCTAGCGAACTAGCTGATATCACCGACCAAATGAATGGATCATTTAATGGTGTAGGCATAGAAAATTTTATCGTAGATGATACCATCAATATTTATCAAGTGATGGAAAACAGTCCGGCGTCTCGTGCAGGCATAAAAGCATTTGACAAGATTGTAACGATAGACGACTCGATCATAGCAGGTAAAAATATTGAATACGAAAAAGTAAGGTCTATGCTTCGCAAAGAAAAAGGCGAAAAAGTGACCCTTGGCATCATGCGGGATAAAAACATTCTTGCTACGGATGTGACCATCGATGTTATACCTGTTTCGTCGGTTTCTTCTTCATTGCTACCTGAGATAGAAACTGCATATATAAAGATAGAAAGATTTGGATCTAAGACGTACACCGAATTTATGGATGAAGTAGAAAAATATTTCCAACCCATCAATGTCGATAAAAAAGGAAAGGCAAAACATCTTATCCTGGACCTAAGAGACAATCCTGGTGGCTATCTTCCCGAAGCTACAAATATCTTGTGCCAATTATTTGCAGAAAAAGATAAGCTTTTGGTATATACAGAAGGAAGGAAGAATAAAAAAAATGAATATAAAAGTAATGGAAAACATTTCTTCCAAATAGATCAAATCGTTGTACTCATTGATGAAAATACTGCATCAGCAAGTGAAATCATAGCAGGTGCCATCCAAGATTGGGATCGTGGCCATGTCATAGGTAGAAGGTCCTACGGCAAGGGATTGGTTCAAGAACAATACGATTTAAATAATGGTGGCGCTATTAGATTGACTGTAGCTAGGTATTATACGCCTTCGGGAAGGTCTATTCAGAGAGATTACTCTGATAGAGAAAGTTATGATGAAGATTATGGCGCTAGATACACCAATGGTGATTTGTTTCATAAAGACAGTACCTTGGTCGATGACAAAAAAGAGTATTTCACATTAGTCAAAAAAAGAAAAGTCACAGCTTCAGGTGGCATCACACCAGATATTTTTGTGGGAATGGATACGATATTCAGAAATGAAAACTTTATGTTATTGAAGTCCCTTATACCTGAGTTTACTTATAGATATGCTACAAAAAACAAATCAAAAATCCCAAACACGTTAGAAGGTATCAATAACTGGAAAGTAAGTGATGATTTCTACAAATCATTTTCAGAATATGCTTTGAAAGAGTCACAAGAAACATCGATACCTTCGGGTCAACTGAATAAACTGGATAGCGAAATAAAAAGCAATCTTATGAAAATCATCATAGGAAAATCCAAATCCGAATCCTACTTACTCGGTCAAGATGCTGCTATTCAAAAAGCATCTGATGTGATTAAGAATAAAAAGGAATTGAAGTAGACCAAAAGTTACTGGTAGCATCTCTTGGAGCCATACCATCAGAAGATGTGGGAGTTACCGATAGCATGTCTTATAGCCTTACCATCGGAAGTAAGTTACATTTCCTTCTTAAGATATTCTGCTGTGTGGCCATTACTCTTTTTGATCATGGCTTCGGGTGTACCTGCAAATTGGATAATACCGCCTGCTTTTCCACCTTCAGGACCTAAATCTACCACATAATCTGATACCTTGATGACATCCATGTTGTGTTCAATGATGATGACAGTATTTCCTTTTTCTACCAGTTTATCTATGACACCGAGCAGCTGTTTGATATCGTCAAAATGCAGTCCTGTCGTCGGTTCGTCCAAGATATAAATGGTATTGCCTGTATCTTTTTTGGAGAGTTCTTCGGAAAGTTTTACACGTTGTGCTTCTCCACCTGAAAGCGTGGTTGCTTGCTGACCAAGAGTGATATAACCAAGTCCTACACTATCCAAAGTTTTGAGTTTTCTATAAATGGATGGTATGCTTTTGAAAAATTCAGTAGCATCTTCAACCGACATATCCAACACGTCTGATATAGACTTCCCTTTAAAAAGAATCTCTAGTGTCTCTCTATTGTAGCGCTTACCCATACATTGCTCACAATCTACCAAGACATCTGGCAGAAAGTTCATTTCTATGAGTTTTTTGCCTGCTCCTTCGCAAGTTTCACATCTGCCACCTGCGACATTAAAGGAGAATCTACCTAACTGATATCCGCGAATCTTTGCTTCAGGCATATTGCCAAACAACTTTCTAATATCTGTAAATACACCAATGTAGGTAGCTGGATTTGACCTTGGTGTACGTCCTATCGGCGACTGATCTATTTCGATGACTTTATCTAAATGTTCTAGTCCTGTGATGCTTTTGTAAGGTAAAGGTTTCTGAATACTATTGTAAAAATGCTGTCTCAGTATCGGGTACAAGGTCTCATTGATCAATGAAGATTTACCACTGCCTGACACACCAGTCACACAAATGAGCGTACCAAGGGGAAGTTTGATATCTACGTTTTTGAGATTGTGACCTGTGGCACCTTTTAGCTCTAGAAATTTGCCATTGCCTTTTCTTCTCGTTTTTGGTACTTCTATTCGGAGCCTGTTGCTGAGATATCCTGCTGTCGTGCCACCGAGTTTTAGAAATTCTTCTGGCGTACCCATGGTCACGATCTCCCCACCATGCATGCCTGCGCCTGGACCAAGATCTATGATGTAATCTGATGCCAACATGATATCCTTGTCATGCTCTACAACTAACACAGAATTGCCTATTTCCGTCAAGTCTCTGAGAGCTTTGATGAGTTTATGGTTGTCACGCTGATGCAATCCGATGCTTGGCTCATCCATGATATAGGTGATGCCTGTGAGTTGACTTCCTATCTGACTAGCAAGTCTGGTACGTTGGGATTCTCCACCTGAAAGTGTTCTTGTGGTACGATTGAGATTGAGATATCCGAGACCTACTTCTAGTAAAAAGCCGAGTCTGAGTCTGATTTCCTTTAAGATTTCAAAAGAAACAGCTTTTTGTTTTTCGTCCATATAATTAGGCAATTCACCTATCCAAGCGTGGAGCTCATCAATGTTCATTTCGCCTAAATGGCCAATATGTTTTTCACCCAATTTGAAGTGAAGTGATTCTTTTTTTAATCTAAAACCATCACAAGTTTGGCATGGTACGATACTCAAAAACTCTTCTGCCCATGACCTTATTTTTTCAGAAGTAGAGTCTCTATACCATCGCTCCACCATATTGACAATACCTTCATTTGCAAGGTCGTAGAGATAATCATTGGCCACATTTCCGTAAGCCACACCGTAAGAATTGTCACCACCATGTAGAATGATTTCCAATGCTTTTTCGGGTATTTTATCTACAGGTGTATCAAAATTAAATTTATAATCAGCAGCTATTTTTTTGAGTTGTTTGAATGTATTGGTATCTCGTACAGCTCCAAAAGGTTTGATCGCTTCTTGGTTGATATTTTTGGATCTATCGGGAATGATTTTGTGCATGTCTGCCTTGTGTTGCTCACCTAGACCATTACAATCAGGACAAGCGCCATAAGGCGAATTAAAAGAAAAATTATTGGGTGATGGTTCGTCATAGGAGACACCTGAAAGTGGATCCATGAGACTTTTGGAGTAGGCTTTCATCGTATTGTCATCTGTATCAATGATCATGATAAAGTCATTTCCCAATTTTAGCCCCATCTGTAGGGAAGCCGTCAGCCTTTCGGTTTTGTCAGTTTCTACCTTTAGACGATCTACTACGATCTCTATATCATGGACTTTGTATCTATCGAGCTGCAAGCCTTGTACTAGATCTACGATTTCGCCATCCACTCGAACTTTGGTAAATCCTTTTTTGCGAGTCTGATCGAATAGTTCACGATAATGACCTTTTCTTGCTCTGATGACAGGTGCAAGAATGGCTATTTTTTTACCATAAAAATGAGAAAGTGCGTGCTCTACAATCTGATCTTCGGTGTATTTGATCATTTTTTCGCCAGTGACATAAGAGTACGCCTCACCTACCCTAGCATATAAAAGACGAAGAAAATCATATATTTCTGTAGTCGTGCCGACCGTTGACCTAGGATTCCAAGCTGTCGTTTTTTGTTCTATAGAAATGACGGGACTCAGACCGTCTATTTTTTCAACTTCGGGCCTATCCATCGATCCTATAAATTGGCGCGCATAGGCGGAAAATGTCTCCATGTATCGTCGTTGGCCTTCTGCATACAACGTATCAAAAGCAAGTGACGACTTCCCGCTGCCACTCAGACCTGTGATGACCACGAGTTGATTTCGGGGAATTTTTACAGAAATATCTTTGAGATTATTTTCATTTGCTCCAATGATGGTGATAAAATCATCTGCGTTAATGGCATCTTCGTCTAGGTCTAAAATATCTTGCATGATCAGATTATAATCAAAAAATAAAGGTATAACAAGTGAATAGTTTTTACTAGAAAAATGTTTTGGAGAAGCATCTATTTTGATCGATAAAAGTGGGGAAGCCATGCGTTATATCTGATTAGTCAGAATAAAGATGGATACTCTTTTAGTAGACATTTTATATAGAACGTCATAATACCGACAAAGTGAAAGAAAAATGAAAACAGAATAAAGTTAAATGATTATCTTTGTCACAGAAGAAGAAATAGATGATTTTTGTCCGGCGAAATGATAAAGTGAAAGAGAAACTTACAGCTGCACAATCTTACCTTTTCTGACATAGTAAGTGTAATTATTATTAAAATCTTATAGAAATGAAAAATGTTTTAATCCTTTTGTTTTTGGCTTATTTTGGCCTAGGTTATGGTCAGATTATAAATTTTTCGGATGCGAATTTTAAAAATGCTTTGGTGAATACGAAGTGTGTCAGTACAGATGGCAACTCAGGTGGAGAAATTGACGCAGACTTCAATAATGATGGGGAGATAGATATTAATGAAGCATTGATGGTACGAGATTTGGAAATAGATTCCGCTATGATTTATAATTTAGATGGACTAGAGTACTTTAAAAACTTAAGATATTTACGTTGCTATAACAACAAAATTTCAAGGATTGATATAACACCTTTTAATGGATTAACATCTCTTTATTGCTATAACAATCTTATTGAAGAGATAGTAATAGGTAATAACGTATCACCATTGAGACTTTTATTTTGTAATAACAACCTACTCGAAACCCTTAATTTGATAAATACTCCTAATCTTGTTTCGTTACACTGTGCCAAAAATATGTTATCTGAGTTAAAAGTTGACCATCTTAAAAATTTGACAACTCTTGAATGTAATTTTAATAAGATTACTTCAATTAACGTTAAAGGATTAACAAGTTTAAGTAGTTTTCAATGTCATAACAATAGATTAGATTCTTTAGATATTAGTGGATTAACTAATTTAAAATCTGTCCTTTGCTCAAATAATGATATCACATATCTGAATATTGAGAACCATCAAGTTTTAGAACATTTATCTTGTAGTGATAACCAAATTATTGAGTTGAAAATTAAATCTTGCCCAGTACTTTGGCGAGTTTTTGCTTATTCAAATGTCATTGAAGAGATTAGTTTTTCGGATATTCCCAATTTAAATGATTTATTAATCAATAATAACAAACTCAAATCACTCCATCTAAGCAACTATGATAGTTTATATAGGATTGACTGTGGTAATAACGAAATAAGTGATTTAAAACTACATAATTTACCAAATCTTAAAAGTCTATCATGTTCAAACAATTTTATTGATGAATTAAATGTAAAGGATGCTGATAATTTGGAGAATTTGTATTGCCAAAAAAATAACTTTAAATCAATAGATATTTCACAGTTTAATTTATTAAAGAATTTAAATTGTGATCTAAATACTTCCCTTAACTCTTTATTTATTAAAACTGGTGGACGTTTAAGGATGTTAATTGATTATTGCTGCAAACTAACTGTGCTAATCTCTCTAAGCTTTGGATATCTAAAAATGAAATTTGATTATCACTGCAATTTAAATTATTCAATCTTGTCAATCCTTCAACTTTTAGGGCAGTAATTTGGTTGCCAGAACAATATAATATAAGTAAGTTAGTTAATTCTTGAACATTTAAAAATGTAAGATTATTAGACGAGCAATTTAAAATTTGAAGGTTTCTAAAAAGTTCTATCCCCTCCAAACTAGAAATCTGTTTATTTGAAACATCCAAAATAACTACTTCCAATGCCTCACTCACCTCTATCTCACCGTCACCATTTAAATCTGCATCTACATCACCTGTACCATTTCCATCTAAATCGACACAATTCGTATTCACCAATGCATTCTTAAAATTAGCATCTGGAAAATCAATAATCTGACAATTGCCAACAAAGCAAAAAGCCAAAAAAGAAATCACTAATAAACTTCTCATATCTAAACATTAAAAGATTCAACAATTAAACAATAAACTCAAATCTTCACAAACTTAACAAGACCCACTTTCGCCCCATCCTTCAACCTAATAAAATAAGTCCCACTTTCTAATTCACTCACATCTATGGACGGACTATTCAAGGATATCGATCTCAAAATCCTTCCAGAAATATCATAGATTTCTGCTTTGGACCAGTTTTCGTCTGTGTTTAGATATAAGATGTCAGAAACAGGGTTCGGATAGATATTAACCTCTGGGATGATATCTTTTGTAAAAACTGGGAAAGCTACAGTTGTTTGTGCTTCATTAGTACGTATCGGGAAGTTATAATCAAAATAGATATCTGCTAGATTTTTGAGTGAATCGCCAAGGACTAAACTAGGTAAGGTCTTGATTTTGAATGCGATATAACCATCATTATTAGCATCGTCGAATGGTAATTGTATATTCTCAAAGATGAATTCTACTTTATTGCCTTCTATACGTGTATAAACTTCATGGCTGGCATCTGTGATTTTCAGCGTGCTAACATCGAATGTTTTGGTGTCGATGATATCTTTGACTACCACATTTTCAGCGGCGTAGTTCCCTGTATTTTCGAAGCGGATGAGATAGTCTACGTACTCGCCTACCATATCAGGTTTTACACGATCGCCTTGGAGACATGTTTTGTCATTCGGATCGTAAGAACCTACGACCGTATTCTCAAGTGTGAAGATATTGTCTAGGATGGATGCTGTCAGATATAGTTTGTCCCCTGCATTGACAGCAGGTGTGTCTGTAGGTCTATTAACTTTCAGTGTAACGGTGATTTCTCTTTTTTCGAAAGGAAGCAGATTATTAAAATACCAACTGACGATACCATCTGATTTTAGATCTTCGGTTTGAGTAGCGGAGATATAATCCAATAATGTCTCTTCGTATGTAAAATTGAGCGTGCCGCTTTCTATTTGATTGCCTACATTTTCCCACACGATTTTGTAAGATGCATCGAATCCTGGTCTCGCTGGTGGTGTGAGTGGGATGACGGTAATGTTGGTTTTATTTAAGATTCCTTTTGGTGTGATGCAGAAATCTTGGGTGATGGTGTCTGAACTTGATGGGAAAGTTATTGTAATTGAAGAAGGTGTAACTTCGAAGTAGTCTGGATGTTCTAATATTGGAGTGATGGTGTGGGTGCCTATTAAAAGCGGAATGTAAGAATCTCCCGACGTCTTTGGAATATAAGTTCTTATAAAATTTTCAGTATTAAGAATATATTTCAATTTTGAAATTTTATTACCATCAATATCACAACCACTATTGTTAAAATCAGCAAAAAGTCTACCATTAAATATATTATAATCATTTCCAGGTGTAAAAGAACAGTAAGTATTTACTTCTGTTCCCTGAATCATATCAAGGCTTAGGATAAATAAAATTTTATTTATTGAAATTTCATCAGCACAAATATATTTTAAATTTATACATCCATTAAACATTGCAAAAGGAAGTTCTTTTGTACTTCCTGACTTTAGAAATAATGCTTCTAATCTGATATTATTTTGAACATTAACTCCCCTTAGATCTTTTTGATCAGTTAAATCTAAAAATCTAATATTAGTTTCTTGGCAGGTTACTAAACTTAATTTTTTCAACCCCCTAAGATTTAAAGAATCAATAGGGTTGTGTCCTGTGTAGAGATCCTTTAAATTTGTCAGAGTACTTAAATCAATAGTTTTTAAGTCATTTTCCCAAGTTCGTAATTCTCTTATATTTTCACATCCAGTTACGTCAATAGCTTTCATATTATTTTGATAACAAGTCAAAATCTCTAAATTTAATAAACCAGATACATCTAAAGAACTAATTTTATTTTTGTAACAAGATAGATTCTTTAAATTTTTAAAAAACTTTATACCTTCTAAATTTGATATTAACTTACTGTGAACATACATACTAGTAACTCTTAATGCTTCATCTACATCTATCTCCCCATCAGCATTAAAATCTACATCAGCATCAAAAATATTATCTCCATCAGTATCCGCGCATTTACTATTCACCAATGCATTCTTAAAATTAGCATCCGGAAAATCAATAATCTGACCATAACCGACAAAGCAAAAAGTCAAAAATGAAAATAATAATACACTTCTCATATCTAAACATTAAACAATTCAACAATTACACAATTAAACTCAAATCTTCACAAACTTAACAAGTCCCACTTTCTCTCCATCCTTTAACCTAATAAAATAGGTCCCACTTTCTAATTCACGCACATCTATAGACGAAGTATCTAAAGATATTGATCTCATAATCCTTCCAGCAATATCATAGATGTCTGCTTTGGTCCAGTTTATATTTGTGTTTAGATATAAGATGTCAGAAACGGGATTAGGGTAAATATTTACTTCTGTGGTGATATCTTTGGTAAAGACAGGGAAAGCTACTGTTGTCTGTGCTTCATTGGTACGTATCGGGAAGTTATAGTCAAAATAGATGTTTGCTAGGTTTTTGAGTGAGTCACCAAGAACTAAACTCGGTAAGGTCTTAATCTTAAAGGCGATGTAACCATCATTATTGGCATCGTCGAAAGGGAGTTGGATGTTTTCAAAGATGAACTCTACTTTATTGCCTTCGATACGTGTATATACTTCATGACTGGCATCTGTGATTTTCAGTGTACTCACATCGAAGGTTTTGGTATCGATAATGTCTTTTACTACGACATTTTCTGCGGCAAAGTTGCCTGTATTTTCAAAGCGGATGAGATAGTCCACGTACTCGCCTACCATGTCAGGTTTTACACGATCGCCTTGGAGACATGTTTTGTCATTTGGATCGTAAGAACCGACGACCGTATTTTCGAGTGTGAAGATATTGTCTAGGATAGATGCTGTGAGATATAGTTTATCTCCTGCATTTACAGCAGGTGTGTCTGTAGGTCTATTTACTTTGAGGGTAACAGTGATTTCTCTTTTTTCGAAAGGAAGGAGATTGGTAAAATTCCACTTAACTATGCCATCTGCTACTTGGTCAGCCGTCTGTGTACCAAAGATATAGTCCAATAATGTCTCATCAAAATTAAAATTGAGCGTACCACTTTCTATTTGATTTCCTACATTTTCCCACACTATTTTGTATTTGGCATCGAAGCCTGGTCTGGCAGGTGGCGAGAGTGGGATGACGGTGATGTTGGTTTGACGGAAGATGCCTTTAGGAGTGATGCAGAAGTCTTGGGTGATTGTGTCTCCTTTTTGAATTTCTAATGTAATAATTTCAGGTGAGAAAGTGAATGCTTGATTTTCTAATTTTGGTGTGATAGAATTTGGTCCAACCATTATTGGGATTTCGTACTTGTCACTTCCTGCAAATACAAAAGTTCCAGATTTAGATGGTCCGGCTATATCAAATTTTACCGTAGATAAGTTTTTATCGTTGTTATCACAACCATTATTGTCTGCATCTAGAACGACTTTACCTTTGATAACTCCAAATTCACTAAAAGGATCAAAAGAACAGTAGTTAGTTACGTTTACATTAGTATAGCCATAGAAATTTAATTGGTTTTCAATCAATTGAAAATTATTTTCAGAGCAACAGATATATTTTAATTTATAATTATTACTTAAATTAATGTTTGAAAGCTTAGATTCTGTAATTAAGTTTATCGAAACCAAGTTTGAATAAGCAAAATTTAAATATGTTAGCTTAGGCAAACCAATTAAGGTTAATTGTTCTAAGTTTTCGCTCCCACCACAACTTAAATTACTTAATGATGGTAAATCACTAATATATAAAGATGAATAATCTGAATTTGTACAATTCAAATAGATAAGTTTAGGCAAATTTACTAATGATAGGTTCTTTAAATTTTGGTTATGGCTGCAATTCAAACTTTCCAATGAAGGTAAGTCTTTGACCTGTAATGAAAGAAACCCTGAACTGGTGCAATTTAAAATAGATAAATTAGGTAGATTGGCTAATTTTAATTGTAGTAAATTTGGGCTTCCTCCACATTCTAAAATATTTAGCGAGGGTAAATCATTGAGATCTATTGATGTTAAGTCACTTCCATAACAAGAGATGGTGATCAAACTAGGTAAATTGGTTAAAACTAATGATTTTAATTTAATGTTATTATTAAAATCTAAGATCTTCAAAAGTGGTAAATCTTGAATTTTTAAAGCTATCAAGCTTAAATAGGAACCATATAAAATGGATAATTTTGGTAAACTTATTAAACTTAAATTACTTAAAGAAATACTATTATTACAATATAAGTATGACAAAGAAGGTAAATCTATGATTTCTAGGGAAATTAAACCTGAGTATGTGCAATCCAGAATCGTTAGTTTTGGTAAATTGGTTAATGTTAAAGTTTTTAAATTACCATTGTTACCCAAATTTAGTTTAGAAAGCAATGGTAAATCTTTGATAACTAATGAAATAAGACCTGAATGGGAACAGTAAATTTCAAGTAATTCAGGTAAGTTTGATAAAATAATTGTATTTAAAGACTCATTATTATCACCTTGTAGATATGATAAAGTTGGTAAATCTTTTAATTCTAATGAATCAACTTTTGTATTACTAAAATATACACTTGATAATTTTGGTAAATTTTTTAATGTTAAAGTTTCTAAAGAAGTATTGTTATTACAAATGACATTTGATAATGCTGGTAAATCTATCATTTCTATTGCCATTAAATTTGATTGAGAACAATCAAATAAGTTGAGTTTATTTAAATTTTTCAAGGATAAATTACTCAAATATTTATTATTGTCACAATGAATATATAACAATGAAGGAAAATCTTTTAACTCCAATGATTTCAATCCTGTATTTGTACAATAAAATTCAGAAAGGATTGGTAAATTTGTGAGAGTTAAATCATTCAAATTAACATTATTACTACATCTTAAATCCATCAATAAATTCAAATCTTTCAAATCTACTGACACAACACCAGTGTTGGAGAAACTCAGTTTAGACAATAAAGGTAAATTATTTAGTTTCAATGATTTTAAGGAATCATTATTATCGCACATTAATGTCTTCAAGGTAAGCAGGTTGTCTATTTGCAATTTTGATATTTTGATAGATGTGCAATTCAAGTGTATCAATGACTGAAAATGTTGTATTCCTTCCAAACTTATAATATTACGATTGCTAATAATCAATCCTTTTATGATTAGCGCTTCACCTTCTTCTATCTCTCCATCATTATTCAAATCAGCATCCGAGTCACCGATATTATCACCATTAGTATCCACACATTTCGTATTCACCAAAGCATTCTTAAAAATAGCATCCGGAAAATTTATAATCTGACCATAACCGACAAAGCAAAAAGCCAAAAAAGAAAACAATAATATACTTCTCATATCTAAACATTATACGATTCAACAATTAAAATTACATCTTCACAAACTTAACAAGTCCAACCTTATCTACATCTTTCAATCTAATAAAATAGGTCCCACTTTCCAATTCACTGACATCCATAGACGAAGTATCTAAAGATATTGATCTCATAATCCTTCCATCAATATCAAATATCTCAGCTTTGATCCAATGATCATTTGTGTCTAGATATAAAACATCAGTAACTGGATTAGGATAAATATTAACTTCTGTGGTGATATCTTTGGTAAAGACAGGGAAAGCTACAGTCGTCTGTGCTTCATTAGTACGTATCGGGAAGTTATAATCAAAATAGATGTCTGCTAGATTTTTTAGTGAGTCACCAAGTACTAGAGTAGGTAAGGTCTTGATCTTGAAGGCGATGTAACCATCATTATTGGCATCATCGAATGGTAATTGGATATTCTCAAAGATGAACTCTACTTTATTGTCTTCGATACGGGTATAAACTTCGTGGCTGGCATCTGTGATTTTCAGGGTACTGACGTCGAAGGTCTTGGTATCGATGATATCTTTGACTACGACATTTTCAGCGGCATAGTTACCAGTATTTTCAAAGCGGATGAGATAGTCCACGTACTCGCCCACCATATCGGGTTTGACGCGATCACCTTGGAGACATGTTTTGTCATTCGGATCATAAGAACCTACCACCGTATTTTCGAGTGTGAAGATATTGTCTAGGATGGATGCTGTCAGATATAGTTTGTCTCCTGCATTGACAGCAGGTGTATCTGTCGGTCTATTGACTTTGAGTGTAACGGTGATTTCTCTTTTTTCGAATGGCAGTAAATTATTATAATACCAACTGACGATACCATCTGATTTTAAATCTTCGGTCTGAGTAGCGGAGATATAATCTAGTAATGTCTCATCATATGTAAAATTGAGCGTGCCGCTTTCAATTTGATTTCCTGCATTTTCCCAAACGATTTTGTATTGTGCTTCGAAGCCTGGGCGGGCAGGAGGTGTGAGTGGGATGACTGTGATGTTGGTTTGACGGAAAATGCCTTTAGGAGTGATGCAGAAGTCTTGGGTTATGGTGTCGGAGGTGGATGGGAAGGTGATTGTGAATGATGCTGGTGTGATCGTAAATGCTTCCGGATTTTCTAGGATTGGATTTATAAGGTTTTTGCCATCAAGAACTGGGATTAAATAACTGCCATCTGATTTTGAAATAAAAGTTTCAAAATAGTTTTCATTAGAAATTTGAAATTTTAGATACGAACTTCTATAGTCCATACTATCACACCCATCAAAATTACTATCAAAAATTGAAACTCCTGTAACTCTAAAAATCGAATTTACGATTTCAAAATCATAATCCAAGCCTAATTGCCTCAAATCTTGGAAAACATAATTTCGACTGTTTCCTGCAGCATCTATAATACCTATATTAACATTTGCAAATCCAACTGGCATTCCTAAGGAGACAGGAATAGATGCAGTCCATACGCCACTAGTTGGCGTTCCAGAAATTAGGGAAGCTCCACCGTAATAATTTGTACTATTAGGAAAAGTAATAGCAGTTGTTACTATGCCTTGAATACCACTTATATCATCGGCTAATGACAATGTAATAACGACTACTTGTGATGAATCACTTACATCCACTACTTTTGGATTTATGGTAATATCTAATAATGAAGGCGGAATTGTATCTTTTGAATTGGAATTAATAATTTCAAAATCTGAATCAAAACCTAAATTTTGTAAATCTTGAAAATTATAATTTCGAGTATTTCCAACGGCATCTATAATACCTATATTGACATTTGCAAACCCAACTGGCATCCCCAAGGAGACAGGAATAGAAGCAGTCCATACACCATTAGTTGGAGTTCCAGAAATTAGGGAAGCTCCACCGTAATAATTTGTACTATTAGGAAAAGTAATAGCAGTTGTTACTATGCCTTTAATACCACTTATATCATCGGCTAATGACAAAGTAATATTTACTACTTGTGATGAATCACTTACATCCACTACGTTTGGATTTATGATAATATCTAATAATGAAGGTGGAATTGTATCTTGTGAATTGGAATTAACAATTTCAAAACCCGACTCAAAACCTAAATTTTGTAAATCTTGAAAATTATAATTTCGGGTATTTCCAACGGCATCTATAATACCTATATTAACATTTGCAAAACCAATTGGCATTCCTAAGGAGACAGGAATAGAAGCAGTCCATACCCCATTAGTCGGAGTTCCAGAAATTAGGGAAGCTCCACCGTAATAATTTGTACCATTAGGAAAAGTAACGGCAGTTGTTACTATACCTTGTATACCACTTATATCATCTGCTAATGATAATGTAATATTTACTAGTTGTGATGAATCACTTACATCCACTACGTTTGGATTTATGGTAATATCTAATAATGAAGGTGGAATTGTATCCTGTGAATAAGAAAAAGATGTGATCACCAACATGATTAAGAAAATTGCAATATGTCTCATTTTTATTTTTTTTGTAATTGGCTATTCATTAAACGATTCAACAATTAAAACTAAATCTTCACAAACTTAACAACTCCTACTTTCTCTCCATCCTTTAACCTAATAAAATAAGTCCCACTTTCTAATCCACTCACATCCATGGACTGACCTTCCAAGGATGCTGATCTCATAATCCTTCCAGCGATATCATAGATTTCTGCTTTGGTCCAATGATCATTTTTATCTAGGTACAAGATTTCAGTAACTGGATTAGGATAGATATTTACTTCTGTGGTGATATCTTTGGTAAAAACTGGGAAAGCTACGGTCGTCTGCGCTTCATTGGTACGTATAGGGAAGTTATAATCAAAATAGATGTCTGCTAGATTTTTGAGTGAATCGCCAAGGACTAACGTGGGCAATGTCTTGATCTTGAAGGCAATGTACCCATCATTATTGGCATCTTCGAAGGGTAATTGGATATTCTCAAAGATGAACTCTACTTTATTGCCTTCGATGCGCGTATAAACTTCATGACTTGAATCTGTGATTTTCAGTGTGCTGACGTCAAATGTTTTGGTATCAATGATGTCTTTGACTACAACATTTTCTGCAGCATAGTTGCCTGTATTCTCGAAGCGGATCAGATAGTCGACGTACTCGCCGACCATGTCGGGTTTTACTCGATCACCTTGGAGACAAGTTTTGTCATTCGGGTCGTAAGAACCCACCACTGTATTTTCCAGTGTGAAGATATTATCTAAGATAGATGCTGTGAGATACAGCTTATCTCCTGCATTTACAGCTGGCATATCTGTAGGTCTATTAACTTTAAGCGTGACGATGATTTCACGTTTCTCGAAAGGCAGTAGATTGTTAAAATACCAACTGACGATACCATCTGATTTTAGATCAGCAGTTTGAGTAGCAGAGATATAATCCAATAATGTCTCTTCGTATGTAAAATTGAGCGTGCCGCTTTCTATTTGATTTCCTGCATTTTCCCAAACGATTTTGTATTGTGCTTCGAAGCCTGGTCTTGCGGGTGGTGAGAGTGGGATGACGGTGATGTTGGTTTGTCTAAATATGCCTTTAGGAGTGATGCAGAAGTCTTGGGTTATGGTGTCGGAGGAGGATGGGAAGGTGATTGTGAATGATGCTGGTGTGATGTTGAATGCCTGTGGATTTTCTAATATGGGTGTGATGGTGTGGGTACCTTCTTGCAAGGGGATTTGATAGTTTCCCGATGTGTTGGAAATAAAATCTCCTGAAATACTACCGTTGGTAATGTTATATTTAGTGTTTGGAACTTTAATATCTTGATCATCGCATCCATTCAACTTTTCATCATATCTGTTTTCACCGTTTATTATATAAAACTTACCACCAGGTGTGAAGGAGCAGTAAGAATTTACTTCTACGTTATTGTGAGCATCATTCTTAAGCAAATTAGTTATGCGATTTTCTTCTTTTTCATTACAGCAAACATATCTGAGAGAAACTGCTGTTCCAAAATTATTAAAATTGATTCCGAAACTACCTGTTTTAATCAAAAGAATTCGAAGTTTGTAATTTACAAAATTTATTAATTTTAAGTTACTGAGTCCGGTTACGTCGATTAATTCTATTCCATTCCATGAACAATTTAAATTTTCTAACATTTTTAGATTAGAAAAATTTAATTTACTTATTTTATTGTTTGAACAAAATAATATCTTTAAATTTACCAACCTTTCTAAATTAAGCTTTGCAATATCATTGTAATTACAATTTAATTCTAATAAATTGATTAAATCATCAATGTATAGCTCTTCAATTTGATTTTCACTGCAATCCAATTCTTTTAGTTTTAATAAATATTTAATATCTAACTCTTTTATTTTGTTGTTATTACATCTTAATACTTTTAATTGGATCAAATTATTTATATTTAATTCTGTTATTTTATTTTGGTTAACATTTATTGACTCAATATTAATTAGATTATTTAGATCTAGTTTTGTTATAAAATTGTTTGCTATGTATAAATTTATTAAATTTTTTAAACTGGTTGTACTTAAAGAATCAAGTTGATTTGAGCTGCAATTTAAGGTATGAAGATTTATATTATCACCTAGGTCAAGTTTTTTAAATTTATTTATTGAGCAGTCAAGATATTTTAATTTTACTAATGTATTAATTTGTAAATTTTGTAGAGAATTATAACTGCAATTTAAATACTCTAAATTTAAAAACATTTCTATGCCTTGCAACGAAGTGATTGATCTAGATGGGATAATAATCGCAATAACATTTAACGCTTCACTCACATCTATCTCCCCATCATTATTCAAATCTGCATCTGCATCGCCAGTTCCATTTCCGTCTGTATCCACACACTTAGTATTCACCAATGCATTCTTAAAATTAGCATCTGGAAAATCAATAATCTGACAATAACCAACACTACAAAAAGCCAAAAAAGAAAATAATAATAAACTTCTCATATCTAAACATTAAACGATTAAACAATTACACAATTAAACTTAAATCTTCACAAACTTAACAAGCCCCACTCTATCTCCATCCCTCAATCTAATAAAATAAGTCCCACTTTCCAATCCACTTACGTCTATAGACCAACTTTCTAAAGATACTGATCTCATAATCCTTCCTGAAATGTCATATATGTCTGCTTTGGTCCAATGATCATTTGTATCTAGGTATAAAATGTCAGAAACGGGATTAGGGTAGATATTAACTTCTGTGGTGATATCTTTGGTAAAAACTGGGAAAGCAACGGTAGTCTGCGCTTCATTGGTGCGTATCGGGAAGTTATAATCAAAATAGATGTCAGCTAGGTTTTTGAGTGAGTCGCCAAGGACTAAACTCGGCAAGGTCTTGATCTTGAAGGCGATGTAACCGTCATTATTGGCATCTTCGAATGGGAGTTGGATGTTTTCAAAGATGAACTCTACTTTATTGCCTTCTATGCGGGTATATACTTCGTGGCTTGCATCTGTGATTTTCAGCGTGCTGATGTCGAAGGTTTTTGTATCGATGATGTCTTTGACTACCACATTTTCTGCGGCATAGTTCCCTGTATTCTCGAAGCGGATGAGATAGTCTACATACTCGCCAACCATGTCGGGTTTTACTCGATCACCTTGGAGACAAGTTTTGTCATTCGGGTCATAAGAACCTACGACCGTATTTTCGAGTGTGAAGATATTATCTAGGATAGATGCTGTGAGATACAGCTTGTCGCCTGCATTTACGGCAGGTGTATCTGTCGGTCTATTTACTTTGAGTGTAAGGGTGATTTCTCTTTTTTCGAATGGCAGTAAATTATTAAAATACCAACTGACGATACCATCTGATTTTAGATCTTCGGTTTGAGTAGCGGAGATATAATCCAATAATGTCTCATCATAAGTAAAATTGAGTGTACCACTTTCTATTTGATTTCCTACATTTTCCCACACGATTTTGTAAGAAGCTCCGAATCCTGGTCTAGCTGGTGGTGTGAGTGAGATTACCGTTATGTTTGTTTGTCGGAAGATGCCTTTGGGTGTGATGCAGAAATCTTGAGTTATGGTATCTGTTGTATTAGGGAAAGTTACTGTTATGAATGGAGGTGTAACTTCGAAATGATTTGGATGTTCTAGAATTGGGGTTATAGTATGGGTACTCGCTTGGATAGGAATTTGATAATTTCCAGTAGAGTTTGAGATGATTGTTCCCAAGATATTACCATCTGTAATGTTGTATTTAAAATTGGCCATTTTTATATCTTGGTCATCACA